GCATATCTATTTTTATTTGCCACTGAAGCACCAGCACTGTCAAGCCCTGTCTTTATCTATGAAATATCCGCGGCATCTCTGCATCTCGGCCCGCCCAAGTAAAGTCTATGTGTGGGAAGCACTGATTATGTGATCTGGTTGGAAAGTTTCACAGCACGTGACAGCACAGCTAAATCAGGCTGAGGAAACAGGATGTGTTTAAAGGGATGAGCAGGACTTAAGCTCATGATGGTGCTGGTACGCATGTTCTGTCATGGCAAACAACACAAAGGATGTTTTAATGCATGTTTGATGATTATTAAACAATATTGTTACTCGCAGTTGGCTGCTGACTTCATTAGGAACTGCAACACATTGAATTTCTTAATTGAAATTCACTCTTCTCCGTATTGATTTCTTTTTCGGTAAATTATGTCAAAGGCTAAAAGGAAACCAAAACAAGTATATTTGAGAGAGATGTTCTGGGCTAAAAGCCAAATCCTGGCCAGATGAATGGTGTCTCTATAATGTCCCACTTTATTCTGTCCTAATCCAGTTGTATTCACAGAAATTAGTCTCGTTCATTCTTTTACACAAGTCTTGTTCTAAAAGATAAGTTATTTAGTATAAAAGATAAAACGTAATCCATACGCAACGTCCAGCGGTGCACCAGTTCAGATTTGAGGAAGTGAGGGTCCAGATTTCTGTTTGTGAGTTTGACACAAAAGGGAGGTGTGTGCAAAACCAATGGAGGAAGAGAGTGGAGAATACAGCGACCTTTATTCACACACTGACCCACATTCTGTGATGAGAGATTATACTAGTAGTCACATGACATAAACCCACGGACGGACAGAGAGAGAGAGAGAGACTGCCAGGCTTTATAATCCTCTTCATTCTGCCATATCAGGTCAGCCACAACACACCCTACTAAAGCCTCGTTACCCAACACCCCCACTAGTGAGGCCGTTACATTTCACGTTTTCAGTTGTCAAAACACACACAGATTCTATGACCAGATGTAGTTTTTTCTGATCTAGTAAAATGGCATTAATTTTATCCACAGAAAATTATTTTGCACTAACATACTGTATAAACCTTTCAAGACCGAGTTAGCATGAGCTCAGTGATTAATAAATGGTGGTATATGCTTCTGTATAAGCTATAAACATTTTTCATTTAACTTCATATTAAAAAAATTATTTAATTGCCAAGTTCGCGATGAAACACCACACTTCCCTACACTACAGAGATAAAGCACCTTGACTGAAGTAATTGAGTGAGTTTCCTTAAATATAAAAAAAAAGAAAAAACAATACTTTTATTCAGCAAGGATGTCTGTCAGCAAGAATCATGGTTTCCTTTCCACAAATGTTTCTACAGTACAACTGTTTTCAACATTGATAATAATTGGAAATGTTTCTTGAGCACCAAATCAGCCTAATAGAATGATTTCTGAAGGATCATATGAGACTGAAGACTGGAATAGCTGCTGAAGACTGAAATAGCAGCTTTTCCATCAAAAGAATAAATTAGATAATAATAATAATAATAATAATAATAATAATAATAATAATGTATTATTTGTAATAATATTTCACAATATCACTGCGTTTACTGTATTTTTTAATCAAATAAATGCTACATTAATGAGAATAAGAGACTTAAAAAAAGTTTTTAAAAAATCTTACTGGGCCCAAACCTTTGAAAGGTACTGTATGTAAAATATTCATATTTTATACATAAATTCAATTAATTTCAATGTGAATAGTGTTCAGTTT